AATATGACTGAAAATTTTCATTTTTTTTTGAAAAGGTGGTGTCTATTTACTTGTGACCACGCTGTGTACATATAACAGTATATAGTATCATTTTTGTATGTAGGTAGATATAATACTAAGTATTTTTTTAAAGCAGTGATATTTTTTCAAACACAGATTATGGCAAAAACAAATTATCAATAAATTAATTATAATACCACAAAAATCAAATGGGTAAAAATAATGTAAACAGTTTTAATGATTTAGTTAATATGTTGCCTGTTTTCCTATTTTAAGACATTTTTTGTGAAAATAACTAATTCTCACACACAAAATGAAAAGAAATATGTATGCCAATGTTTCAGTGAATGAAAATGTTTCGTTCTTTGTGATTCTTACTTTCTTAATTGTATTCTACTGCTTATCCAAAATGCTATTGAAACTGTAGCACATTAAAATTTTTTTCATTAGTGAATTTTCCCTTCTTCATCCAACTATACAATCTGAGTGAATAAAATAATTATTCTCAAATATATTACCAATTACTCCACTGAAAAATAAATTGTGACAGTATAGTCATATGTTATTCAAACATGCAAGGTATTTGAGTTATTTGTGGTGAGTAAAGGACTTTACACAAAACCCTACAAATATTATTTTAACATATTATGTTTTCATTGTACTTTAACCATCCAACTGTCAATTGTAATGATTCTCAAATGTGTAGCTCTCATCTGCTGTTGGTTTATAACCTTTTGGTTCTTTTATAGCTAAAGGGATAGAGATCTGAAAAGTTACAAAACATATATAAAATATCAATCCATTTATAAAACTATAGAGTCCATTATTTTAATTTCCCAAATTGACTAAATACTATACCATACAAAATGTAATCACTAATTAATGAAATAAGTAACAATGTGATTCTTCTAACTGAATAACTTTACCATTGGATTCAATGAACAGCTGTTTTCCTGTGGAGAGAGATAAGCAAAATTGCGTACATCTCTATCATTATCTGTCTGCAATCTTCGTAATGCTTGAAGTAATAAGTCATGATGAGGGTTCTGGTTACTGGAAAAGTAGTCTGAAGTAACAAAAAAATATCATAAACCACTTAGCATTGTGAAAATGGAACAATATTTGTCTTTTACGTTGAAATTAAAAATATATCAGAAAACATTAATAACTGTATTAAAATATATCAGAAAACATTAATAATTTACTTCACATTAACTGATTTCTTTGTTGACTGATTGCATAACTTTTCATTAAATTCCATATTTTTAGTCACATTTCTGACAATACTCAAATACAAAGTATAAATGACTCAACAAAAATTACAGCCATAAATTGTCACAGTTATAAGAGTTCTGTTTGACTGGTGGAAGAACAAACATACACTGTGAACCAGAAAGTGTTAAAGTATTGAAAATCTTTAATTAACAAGAACACTGAAATAGCTTAATAACTTACCAAGGGATAAGACTGTCTGCGACAGGCACTTGGCAACAGCCATTCTAACATTTGGTACACCATCCCAAGACAACTTTAAGAGATGTGGCAGGATGTCATGGGCAAATTGTTCAATAGGTAATGAATTCTCATGGACAAAGTGATGACATAAAAGGGCAAAGCTAAAAAAATATACCAGGTAAAGGAAAATCTTGAAATTTAGAGCTTATCAGAAAATCTACTTATATAAGCCAATAAGCTTAATCTGACAATTTAGAAAATATTTGTTCTATATCTTTATTCAATACTTTTAAAACATCTTATGATCCTGTAGATTATTCAAAAAAATTACGAACACTTCATTTGATGCTACCCTGTTAGAAGAACACAAGATATAATCTTTAGATACAAATCCATATGAACACCAGACACTAGTCTACTACTATGTTTTGATCTAGTTATATTACTTACGTCTGTCTCACTGACCACTTCGTTGCGTGAGTGAACTTCTCAGCAAGTTCAACCAACACACTCTTTGTTAACAAAGGATCAGGACTTGTAGTAAGAGACCTTACCATTGCAGCCATCTACAGAGAGATAGTACATTATTAAATATCCATTCAACCAAACAGAGTTTTAATCTTAAGTCTACATTTTTCACATAACCTACATAAGCTTGGAGGTGGCACAGTATTAAGTTAAAGATAAAATATTATCATCATTAACTAATGTTATTTTATCTAGAAACATTTTAAGTAAGAATTTACAATATTTTATTATCTACTACAAGCTAAACAAAAAACAACTTTAGGATAAAAAAACACACACGAGTATAACCAATCTAGCAGTAATTTAAATAATAATAATTTGTTATTATTATACTTTGAATTGAAGAGATATTACTGAAAATATAACCAGAGAGGAATTTTTAATTATTTAAGATACTGAAAATTAGAATAGTTGTTTTGTTTTATATTATAAATGTGATTTTGAAAATAAAAAACTGCACTAGTTACATTTGTGAAATGTTTGTAACTGTAAATGTAGTAGCTATTTATTAATAAAACAAGGTCCTTATATTCATTGTTGATATTGAAATAACATTAGCCATTATTATAAAGTTTATAGATTTTATTTTTTCATGAATGATCATAAATGAAATTATGATTCTTTTTTTACTGTTGGTTTTTCTATAGAAAACAATAGGGCATTAATACATTTTACAAGATGTCAAATGAATTTTTAATTATGTACAAACACTTTTTAAAAATGTGCGAAGTAAAAAAACTTACAAGTGGTAGTGACGTATGCCTCACTTTGGCTACTCTGTCTCTGACCAGAATCATTGCCATGGGTACAAGATACTCTTTCACATCTATGGGGCTGTAAAGATCTGTCACTGCAATTAACTGCCTGAAAGAACAAGCAGTTGGATACATGATTCAAATGTGCTAAAACAAGTTCTTATACCTCTAAAACAGTGAGAAATAAAACCTCTTTTAGAAAGCTAGTGAGAACTTTGAAGAAAGTAGAAGCAATTACACATTGGAAATGGGTTTGTCACCCATATTAGATTAGATTAGATTTATATTATTATGTATGTGTTAGGTCATTTATAAATGTCATTTTAATATAGAGCTCACTTGTCCCAACAACAGAAATGAATAATCAATATCTCTCCAATCTGATTTACAGAATAATGTATTTCACAAAAGTTTAAATTGGTGATAACACATATACATCAAGATTTTTATGAAAAAATTAAATAACACAAAAAACTCCAAGAGTTTCCTCAAATGAAAAGGTTAAACAATGTATATTGATTACTTAAAATACTCAAGTATGTTTCGTTCTGTTAGAAGTGAATATATATGATTATAATGTATTAGATATATATATCCAATAACCAACTATCTGACAAAGAGTATTATTTGGTAATATTATATATTTATTCCATTATTATCTTTTAAATAACTTCTATCCAACGTCAAATGTTCTTTTATGCCACAACTTTTAAACATTTAATTAACCACAGTGCTTGAAGTGAGGGAAAAGAGGAAATGGAATTGTTTGTGAAATTTTTGAAACTCAGTACTATATTACCTGTTTTTCATGAATATTCTTTATTTATTATTATACAAATAACTAAAATGTAAAAATTAGAAACTTATTAGGTTAGGTAAGATAATGAAAAATAATAATTATAATTCTCCACAAGGTTTACTCTCAAATTGCTTGGGCATTATATAATTTAATACTGTAATGTGAGCTGCATATTTGCTAAGTGATTTACAACTTGTGTGGCTGGATTATTAGTTAGACACAGTTCGGTGTGTTATAGTATAGAAACTCTGGTGGTTACTTTGTGGTTATGAACTTGGTCACCACGACTGAGCCCATAGCGACAGAGTTCATCCACTCCGTCTTTTTACTATTTTGTCTCATTCCTGCCTCGCTCTTACACAACATTTTAAGGAAAAAACAACAGTTTCTATCCCCAGTCCCTTGCTACTATAATTATTTATTGTATTGTCTATTGAAAATTTCCTTTCTGAGAAGTTCACAGTCTACTAAAAGGCAGCAGGGTGATTTCACGCCTCCTGAAAAGGAGTGGGATGGCATCCTGCCCCACTTCAACCACTGATTAAGTGAAAAACAAACAAACTTACTCTGACAGTATCAATCTAAATCTCCAGTTTTTTTCATTGTCCATTCTAAGAAATTCTGATAATCTAGGTAAAAATTCTTGCCGCTCTGATGGGTTTAAAAGCTAAGAGAAGAAACCAATACATAATTTACATTAATACTGATAATAAAAGTTTTATACATTTGCAGAGAAGTAAAAAAAAAGAAGCTGAAAATTTGCAAATCTTTATTAAACCTCACATAATCAACAATTTAAATAGTGTATTATATTAAAGTATCATTGTAAAAATATAACAGCATTAAGATCTTACTTAAGATGGGTACCTAAGTCTTTTTATCTACTATTGGATCATTAATAATATGTAAAACAAGGAATATGCTTAAGTGGAAATATTAAAAGTACTATTTACATAATAGTTTTTCTTTTTGATTTCACTAAAATACTTCAATCAAGACCCAAGAAATTTAATTACTAGTCACCTGATTACTTTGATTACATGATGTGAGCTTCCAATAGGTAAATATCTGTCTCATATCCACAATTAACCCTTTAGGTATGACCATCAAAGTATGGTGACCACATAATGTGGTTTCAATTTCCCTATAGAAATGTGAATTGAGAGTATAAAATCAATAGACAAAGCTAACCTGCACAGATGATGAGTTCAACCACTAATATGTATCGAACATGGCATATAAAGTTTGGAGACAGCTTGAATGGGCATAGAAAGAAACTTTATTATGTTTCGACAAGCTTATGTCACCATTGTAATGACGACATAAGCTTTGTATTTTTGTAATAAAGTTTCTTTCTTTACCCATTCAAGCCATCTCTAATTCCTCATCATCAACATGGCATATCTTGCCATTCAACAAATCTGTAATATTTGCAGTTAAAAATTGTTTAATTTTTATGAGAAAATGGACCTAAAATGGCATCAAATTACTCCAGGTTTTTTTACACATGAAGAGACAATTGAACTTGTGCAAGCTAACAATGATTCTGACTCTAAACCTGAATTATTTGATGATTATTTTAAGCATGATATGACTGGAAAAAAATGCACCTGAAGGGTTAATATACTATATTTCTGGTGGAACACTATTTTCTATCAAAGCTATTATGGTAATATTTTATAAATGTAAAACAGAAAGTCAAAGTTTTAAGATATCTCTAACACCTTGTTGCTTTATTTGATTGGGTTATTTTCCAAGCTCATACATTTTCATAATTTTCAAGCCTTATATTTCATATGTAACATTAATGTGTAAAATATATATATACATTTTGTTTCTTTGCTTGTTTGTTGTTAAGCGCCAACCTGCATATTGAGCTATCTCTGCTCTGCACATTACAAGGATCAAACCCAAAATTTCAGTGTTATAAGTCCTCAAGCTTTCTGTTAAGCTACCAGGAGGCTATGGAATTTTGGACTTTTTTTTTCCCTTTAATCTAAAGATTGTAGTTTTCTTCATTTTAGATATAACTGTATTATGTTTAGTAGTTTTCAATAAAATTGTATTCCCTAGCTTTACATATTCAAGATTAAATATGGGTAAAAAAAAAATCACAAACCACAGCAAAACAAAACATAGGTTGGTTCATATTTTTTTAATATAACATCAATACATGAAGAAATATCAAAATAAAAAGAGGCCTTTTAATTATCTGACAATTTCACTCTTCCAAGATAAACTTGTGGTAGGACAAGAATTACAGAATTTCAGCATTCACTGCTTTTCTTTTTCTTACTGGTTTTGAAATGATTAAATAGTATCAAAATAAGACATTATTTGGAAGGATAACTATTATTACAAATACTATTTCACCTGCTTTAAATAAAGCTCTTTAAATATATATGTTAAAAGACAAGAAAGCTAACATTCTGTTCATTCATAGTTTTAATTTTAATAGCAGTACTGTTCTTCAGTTACTAAATTCTGGTTCCCTTAGATTGATAGTGAAGGGTCCTAAGGTTTTTCAAACCCTGAGAGAACTGTTACGACAGCGGAAGTCACCAAACTTTTTTCACAGCTGGCCAGATAACTGAGAGAATGACGAGATAGCTTTTGAGATATCATCAATATTTGCTTTAGAAGTGCTTTCAAATGTTCATCAGTCAA